CTGGGGGGGGTGACTGGCAGCGGCAAGGCCTACCTGCTCGGTTGCACTGGCACCTTGGGGCAAGTGGTCGCCTTGGGTCTTGGGCCTTTCCGGGGGCACCTCTCTGGTCAGTGCCCACTGGCTCGATCTGGGGATGGGGTCCAGTGGTGGCAAGGCCTGCCTGCTCCGTACATGTGTTACTTTAAACATTGTAGTTGTTCAGTAAATTACTTTGAAATGTTAATGAAATGAAATTCTCCTCACCCTTCAAGTGCAATTCTGTTCTCTGCAACAGCAACAAGAGTCAAATACTGCCCCAATACTCAGTTTGACGGACTTTTTTTTTTATTATTGATTTCAGATAATAAAAGACCATGCCTTGAATTCTCTCAGCTAAAGCTAAAGGATTCCTTCAGAGATTTATTTATTCCCAGGATAGAGGTAATTCTGATGTTGTATACAAGGAACAACCTAAACTGTGCTGAGCCTGTGGTTGAGCCCAATAACTCACTTAATGTTAATTTCAACACACAGAAGAAAACAGTCTGGCTGATTCATGGATACAGACCAATGGGCTCCACCCCATCGTGGCTTCAAAAATTTCTAAGGATTTTGTTGAATAAAGAAGATATGAATGTAGTTGTAGTAGACTGGAACCGGGGTGCTACAACTTTTATTTATAGTAGAGCAGTTAAAAACACAAGAATAGTTGCTGGGAGTTTGAGCGGGCACATTCAAAATCTTTTGGTAAGTCTGGGAATGTATGCATTGTATATGCTATACAATATACAGTGTGTTATGCAATAATACCATAAAGTGGTAATAAAATAACTTTCTTTCCCATACTCATTAAGAACTACTGCTTTAATATGTCAGTGGATGCAGTCATCTTTGTCTGCATAGATGGAGAATTCTATACCTAGACAAGTCATGTCTTATTTTTTAAAATTATCTTAGAGATTCAATTATTATGTTTTATTTAAAAATCTTTTAAGATTTTTTTAAACTCTACCTATACCAACTTCAGAATAAAATAACTAATAAGTTTGTAGTTAATGAAGTGTGAATTGGTAAGAGTGAGAAAAAATAGCTTGAAAAATACTGTATTTCTGCCAGCCTTGGAGGCAGACCTCAGTTCCATTCACATCTGCTCAGGGTTTGGATAGGTGAAATAAGTTCAGGCCAGTTCTAGGTCATCTGTGGTTTGAATGATTCTTGTTTCCTAAGTCAACCTTTAGGAAGAACCAAGTCTGTCCTAAGAGAGCAGTGGTAGTGATGGGTACTGGAAAGAAGGAAGACTGATATCTGGACATTCTTGGGCCTGAAATCTGCCCTTGAGTTATGTTGTGCTGTACTTCCAATCCACTGTTGGAACTGAAAAAGCATAGCAGATCCAAGAAGCAGTTATATGTAGTGGCTAAAAGTCAGACTAGAGGAGTTCAAAGCCCAAATGCATCTCTTATGTGTATGTCTTTGAGCAATTACTTAACCTCTCTATACTGTATTTCCTTATTTGTACATTTTGGATAAAAAAATTTATAATAATATGTGACTATTAAGTGAATATATGTAAAGTATAAACACACACACACACACACACACACAAGGGTGATCCAAAAAGTTCATGGAAAAATAGAATTAAAAGATAATACAAATTTTTCATGATCTTTTTAAAATACCCTCATGTATATGCTTATCCTGTGGGTGACATTTAGTAATAATTTAATACAATCAGCTTGGAAGATTGGATTCCATCACTCTCCAGCTTGTGATTGGAGGAA